AGCCATGATGATGATGATGATTATTATTATTATTATTGGTGGTAGCGGTTGTGATTTGTGTTATACCTTAGTTACTGGACTGCTCTTATCTCAGCCTGTGGTAGTTACCATGCCCCATCATCTCCAGCCACACCTGATACAGTAAGAAGAGGTAGAGACTGCGTTGTTTAAGTTAGTGACTAATATTGACCATCTTACTGTTATGGCAGCATGAAAGCTAATCTTTGCAATAGGAGATAATATTTTTACAGCCTAGGATAGTGTAGGTATATCGAAACTGTCTCCTAAAGCAACTGCCTTAGGAAAAAGATTAGGTATTAAAAGGATTTAATAACAAGTGCTGAAATAATTTTGAGTTCCAAAAAACCCGACAGCCTTTTTTGTAAAAGATGAAAATACCTGGGACAAGTACAAAGGACAAAGCCAGAGAATTTGCCACAGAAGAAATGTGGTGGATGACATTGCAGAAAGATACAAAAATGGCTGAAAGAATCTTTCTGTCAAATTACACGTGAATAAGTGTCGTGTTTTAATCCCAGGCGGCAACCCAGAACCACGCAGCTGCTCACTCACTGCCCCTGGCTTCCTCCCCCAGCTCTCGGAGGGATGGGGGGGAGAATCAAAAGAATGTAACTCCCACAGGCTGAGATAAGAGCACTCCAGTAACTAAGGTATAACACAGACCACTACTGCTACTAATAATAATGATAAGGGAAATAACAAGGGAAGAGAATACAACTGCTCACCACCTGCTGACCAATACCCAGCCTGACCCGAGCAGTGATCTAGTCCTTCCAGATAATCTGCCCCCAGTTTACACAGTGGCATGATGTGCTGTGGTATGGAATACCTCTTTGGCTAGTTTGGGTCAGGTGTCCTCTCTCTGCTTCCTCTCGGCCTCCTCTCCTCCCTGTCAGAGCATGAGACTCAAAAAGTCCTTGGTCAGGGTAAACATTACTAAGCAAAAACTAAAAACATCTGTGTTATCAGTGCTGTTCACCGTCTGAAAGTCAAAACCACAGCACTGCACCAGCTACAAAGAAGGAGAAAAATGACTGCTACTGCTGAACTCAGGACAGTAAGGAAAATGTAGAAGACTTACTAGAGGGGATTTGAAAAGAGAACTGGTAAACAGAATTACCTTGGTTTTGTCCCAGGTCATAGCAGATAGCCTAGGACTTATTCAGATACAGATGTTTTTTTGACCTTGCAATGGAGTTCTGAAAATACTAGACAGCAATTGGATGCCTGGTGTAGAAGTGGTGTGACAGAGAGTAATTAACAAATGAATATAAGATGATGTAAATCACTTACTTTCCTTAATGTCTTGTTTCATAACACAGTGACTCCCTTCCCAAAGCCCATGATAGCTCAGTCTCTGGACAAAAGTCTTCTAATCACCTTCTTAGTCCTCCTCCGAAATTCATGCCTGGTACTCACAAGGATTTAAAGCCATATGGTACCTTTTCATCATCTTCTCAGTGACGGATAGAAGTATTTCCATTTTAGCAGCCTAAAACGTTACATAACTATGTATTTAGATTACTGTGAAAACAGCTACTTTCTACCGTTATAATAACCTACTTACTAAATCTCTTTCAGAAAATGCAGTGCCCTGTCCTCTTCTCACAGGAATTGCAGAACAGCTGACAAGACTCGAGAAACTACTTTAAGATTTAAATTTGATCATTTTCAATGCAATTAAAATTAAATGTCTATAAAAATAAAAAACCTGAAACTAACAGCAAACAAATTTTAGCCCTATCAAAGCAAGATTTGTGGTTTTCCCCTCTACTGAAAGGATTGCTGTGGAGCTACGCTCAGCCTCTGGGTCCTCAGCAAGGCTTTTTATACAAAGCCTTATAATATAAGGCATTTTGATTTGCTGTGGGATATAAACATTGAAATCTCAGTATGCCGTACTTAATTTCAGTATAATGCCTAATACATTACTGTTTTTCTTCCACTGTTTGGTTGGACAGGTTCTCATCTGTGCCATCGTTTGAAATTATGTTGTTAAAATCAGTCACCAAACAATCCTAATGGAAGTGCAAGTCCTCCTTTTTCTTTCTCTACATAGTTCTTATTTAGAATGACTCCCTGCTTTGGAGAATCTCCCATTTCACTTCAGTGACATCCTTTATATAGTATATATATTTATGTCTCATTTTTTGATATTACACGAAGTGAATGAAAGTTTAAATCCGTTCAGGGAAACTCCAGGTATCAAGTCTGACTGAAGCAATTCCCTGTGGTCACAGATTATATGTGTAACTGTTATTTTGACAGAACCAGAAGGCAAAGCAATTTCCAGTTGTATTAAAAATGCAAATAAGTCTTCTAGTTGTATTTCAATGTACTTGGAACCACTTGGACTTTTGAGTTTATCTCACAGCACAGATTTGGATTAAGCCAATTCATGTGATTTGACAAGCTGAGGGTAACTACAGAGGAAAAATTCTTGGTCTATAACTCGAAACCATAGAGCTTATGTTTTAATTGTATTTTTTATAAAGTATCTAAAGGCTACAGCAGCAAAAATAATTTATTCAAAGGCAGACTGAGTCTGAAAAAGCATGGTTCATCAATCAGAAATCTTTAAACTGTCAGTTGCCTCAGCTCTGTTCAGTTTAAGTGATGACAGCTATAATACCAGCATGTTAATGCTACCAGTGATAGCATTTGCACAAAAAACACAAGCAAACAAAAACAAACAAACAAAAATACCCAAAAGGGAGAGACTGGAATGATTCAATTTTTTTTAGAAGCAGTATCTCACTTGGTCATTTCGAAGGGCTTAGTTACAGAAAACTACTGAAGCACTATATACATGCTGATCTCTGTGAGAATAGACCTGAATTTATATTCACTGTCATTTTCAGGATTTAGTAATGCTGGCATAATATTTTACACCTAATACCTCTGTAATAAAGGTAACTTCATTTGTTCATATACTCTTCATGTACTTGGTATACTCCAAGCTCACAGGGTAAAGTTATTTCAGCATTAACATAGGATTTTCTGTTATTTCTGTTTTGTTTGATTATTTACGATCATCAACACCACATGGGGGGGAAGTCACTGATTGGCCATGAAATAATGCCAAAAAGTTGACATGACAGAACAGAAATCATCAGCATTCACAATGATAATCCTTAAACATTTGGCATTAAGAAAAATTTGGACAGTCATATGTTTCATAAGGAATGCTATAAACCTCCCTGAAACCTCAGGAGACAGAACTAACCTAATATTCACCTTCTGCAGAGAGTCTGGAAGTGAAAGCCCTATTAGCAAACTAATTAACAATCCATTATAAATGACTAAAATTAAATTTCATAGCTTAATTATAAACCCTTTATTAAACTAAAACTTTCAGATGCTCCATTGTTAATAGGACACATTACTCTAAAACTCATCACAATCTACTACTAATTTCAATTATTATGGTAAGTAATGCAGAAAAATATATGTGTTCATATCAACAGTCCTATTAAATATTTCCTTCCAGAAAATAACAAGTAAACACACTCTCTCTGCTTTTATGTTACAGTAAAAATACAACTATATTTTAATATAGGAATACAGTTGGATTTTTGCAGGTACACATTGATCTGGAATCTGCTTGTAATAAAATATGACTGGATTGTCAGGCTATTTTTTACAATGGTGCAAGCATTGATCATTCAGCACAGTCTCATGAGGGCTGTGTCTAGCTAGAAGATAATGCAGACAAGTCACAGTGGACCTATAAAGACAAATCATTGGTGATAAGGATTTAAAGTCCACAGTATGCTCATTCCAGTGGTGGTTGGGTTTGCTTTTTAAACTTCAAGCTAACTCTAGCCTGGCCTCTTGTACTGAATGACAGTTTATATCTGAAGCCACTCCTGAAGTACATCTCAACTCAGTTTCATCCAAAACAAAGCCAGAAAGGATACTGAAAGGATTGAGACTGCTTCGAAGTCTGGACAAAGCATCAAAGGGGAATGAGCAGATTTGCTTCAGACCAAGCTTGTGTTGCAAACTTCAATTGTACATACCGCAGAGATCAGCAACTTGACATCTTGTCCGAACAGGTTTTGTTGAAATGTCATAGTAAAGTAGGAAATCAAAAAGCAAAAATCTGTGAAAACTTTGAGGACACCAACTGCTCTTTTAGAGTCAAAGAATCAAACCATTCTGATCAATATAACAAAAAAAAAAAACAAAACAAAAAAAAAAAACAAACCAAACAAACAAAAAAAAAAAGCTAGACAGACCCCTCAGCTCCTGAGAAGTTCTTAAGTAGCAGACTCCCTCCCAAGACAGAAATTCCAGCAGTACAGGAGCACAAAATATCCACTGAAATTTCCTCCAAGCATATTTTGGCCATCCTCTGAAGAAAATTTCTGTCTGTGATAGTCTTCCGTATCCCACCTTAAGAGAACAGGGACGTTCATGACTGGCAGTGGAGAATTTAGCTGACAAAGCCCAGGTCATACTGCTGTGGTCAAGTCAACTATCCCAGTGGGTCAGAGATAAAGATTTGGCCTTGGTTCTGATCCAACCCGTCTCTCCAGATCAAACCAACAACAAGAGTCCTTAGGCTTTCCATTTGTGTCACTACCAGCTTGCAACCGGACCTTCTTCATTTGACCACCCCTCCCAGTCAAAACAGAGGGCTTTGTGTACAGTCTCTTCTGAGCTCCCTGCTCTTTCCCTGTGGGAGTTCACTAGGCTCTTCCAAGAGGACTCTCTTGGAAAGCGAAGGGAAAGTAGCAAAGCTGAGGGATGACTTAATTCTTACAGACAGTACGATTAGAACCATGACAACGGTACATGTCTTCATTGTTAAGCCAAGCAGCCACTTCGCAGCTTAGGAAAATACCTGCAGTACACAGACAAAAACTTTCTTATAGATTTCAGTTGATGATTCCATGAAATAAACAAAAGGTTTCAAAGATATCAAAATCTGCCACCTGTGAACTACATATAAGAAAAATCTGATTTTGTAGCTTTATTCCTCAAGAGTTGTGTGGGAAAATGAGCAATAACATACAAATCTTCCTTCTCACTGGGAAAAATCTATTTCTTCTTCTCTCAGCCAATTTCTTCAATTAGAAATCTGCTAACCATGAAATTGCATATGTGCATGTTTCAAGTTTAACTTTTCTCTTGTGGGTTTCCACCTCTTCATGTATAATTTAGAAGTTAGAACTTTGTATAACATTTTGTAGTTCCATCTTAATTACTTGCTAGTTCAATTGTTTCATTTAACAGCTTTGCATTATGTAGCAGTCAATGAAAATAAAAGGTTGTTTAGTATAAGTGAAAGAAGCCCTCATATTTTAGACTGTTAAATCTACATTTTAGTGAACAATAATTCCTCACACAGCCTTGTAGATCTTGGCCTTTGCAAATGGATCTAGGTTATCTGATTGGGTGCCCTCTGTATTTCTCTCTTACTGGGCTAAGACAACTGAGGGAGGTTATTGACATGTAAATACACACTGATGAGCCTGAAATGCAAAATTGAGAGTTTTAAATTCTGTCCTAACCAAGCTTTCACATGTTGTTGCGTAGAACATAAAACCAGTTCTAATAGAGACCAGTAAAAAAGCAGAAATGTGAATAGTAAAATTAACTTTGGCGTCATTTTATAGCCCTGTCCTTTTCCATCACATTCTAAATACATGAAAACTGAAAACTTTCTGAACACACCTGAAAACCTAATCCGAGAGTACTGGCAGCACCTTCAAGTTTCTATGAACACAAGGCTGTGGCAATGGTGTGTTACTTTCCTGATCAGCGAGCAATATAAATATATCTGTTATTTACAAGTATGTTGCTTCATCCATCAAGGCTGCACTGAACAGACTGCACTTAGTAGGTAAGTGAGGCATGGCAGAGAGTGATAAAAATGAAAAATTACTCCCACTCCAGCTATGCTAATTCTGAGCTGTATGCTGTAAATATTTACAACCCCTTTTAAGGTAATGTCTTTAAGAATACAGCTTTAATAAAATTGCACAAAAAAATCAAATTAAGGTATTCCTTTTCAACTAATTTGAATCAAAACCCCAACTGAAAAAAAAAAAAAAATTAAAAGCTCAAAGGATTTCAAAAGCCCGCCTCAATAATATAAAGTACTATTTACCTGGGAGAAAAAAGTTTGCATTCTAACAAAGCTCCATTTGTGACACTAGCTATATAATGAGAACAACTCTTTGAAGTCAGCACTACAAGTGAAAATCATTTGATAATTTGCACCAGCAATGAGGTGCAACAAGTTATAAAATTTCCTTGTATTTAGCTCCTTCAGCTGCCTGCATGCAAGAGATGGATTCTCATGAAAGGCAATTTAAAACAGGAGGCTGACTTAGATGCTGTGAAAAGTTCCTTGGAGAAGCTTAGATAACTCCTTCCGCAGTAAGAACAATAGTCCACCATCTTTCATGCCAGGGTTTTACAGTGCGAACCTAGGTATACTTACGTGTTAATTGTAGATAAGTGGAAGCAGCTGACATTATAGACATCCTTGATTTGAATAAGGAAGTAGAGTCCAAGATTTGTGCCAAAAACAAACCTTAAAAGGCAGTACAATATTATTGTCTGTCCTGACATTTTATAATGTTATAAGGGGTTATTAAGAGGTGTTAAAAACTAGGCATGACAACAAGGCTTCATTGCAAGCATTGCTCCTGTGGTTGCAATAGACTGGGTGATTACTGAAACAGATTACCGCTTGGTCTTTGGTGGATTTTCACTTCATCAAGGAGGCTTGTGTTTCCCCTTACCCCTATCCTGGGGTTATTGAATGCTGCAGCTTCAGACAGGGAACAAGAACAGATCTAAAAAGCCCAGTGTGGTCCAATTCTGCCAAAGACCAGAGAAAATTGAGAGCTAAGGGGCCTCTGCATAAGCAGCCCACATCTGCAGCCATGTTACACTCAGAAATGTAATGATATCATTGTGGAATGGTATCATTACGTGGAAATTCAGTATCAACCCTATTTTACCATGGCTGTAAAGACAGATATTTTCTCCTTCTGCTTTCATGAGAGGGACTGAGAAAAACTTCCTTCAGACCTGGGGATGGGAATACAGTGAGGGACTTGGTCTACTCCTACCCATTGGTCCAAGAGAGGTTTGCTCTGCATAGAAGGATGTGAAGCTGACGGAGTGCTTCCTGTGGGGTAATCCTGCTATGTGAAGAGAAGGGAGTGGGTAAATTTCTAACAAAGTTATTGAAAGAAGAGCTGTTGTATTTGTTATCTACATGTACATACTCCACTGCTGCCATTTTCTATGACTTTATGATTCTGTCCCATTCGTGTTAGCAAATGGTTCTTATTTAGTAGGGATTTTCTGACACAAAACGAAGTCCAGGCAGGCTACACCAACTTTCCCACATTTATCAGAAGGGGATCAGGTTTATTTAATTATTTTCTTATGCAGTCTATAAATACTGAATTCAGGCAGAATTGCCAAGCCCAGCAGATGGGTGACATTTTGGGAAAAGAAAATACAGATTAAATGTAGGAGATTTTAAGAACAGGGAGGGCCCTTGGAGGAGGAAACATTACATCCATTTTATGGTTTGCTCTATTCATACTCTTTTTTAAGTCACAACATATTTTTTACTGCTACCTTGCAATCTGGAAAGGGGGCAAGCTTTAGAGATAGCAAAGCCTCATGGAATAATTCAAATTCCAACACTATTTAGGGTGTAGCCTATAGCGTAGTACATATCTTTCAAAGTTACTAAATTTTGACTGGTCTTCCTGTGTTGACTCAGTAGATTTAGGCCTTGTGCTTTTATCATTTTGGGGTTCTCTCCTTCTTAAATCAGTCCCCAGGATTCAGTGCATACTGCCACTACAGTTTTTTCTATCCAGAACACAAACAGCAATAGGCAAGAAAAACTTTCTTGTTATATAACTATTTTTTTTTGTATTATTTTTAAAGATGTATGTGGAAAAAAAATGGATTTAAAAAACAAGTCTGTACAGTTCTGTTATTTGAAGCTGTTACTACAAATTAAGCCTAAAGAACTCTAGAAACATTCTTACCTTGGCCAAGTTTCAGCTGAATTGCCTCTGTAGCAATAAAAGAGTGGCTTGCTCTTTAATCCTGTCACAGTTCTTTTTCTGATGTTGCTTTGGTCTTTATAGTTAAGCCAAATCTGCACAGATCAAGACAAAACTCAGAAGGGCTCGTTATCCTTACACTGGTGACTGCTTTGGACAATAACTTAGAAGACAAAGAGCACTCAAGGTTGTTGCTTAAAAAGTCTTAGGTACCAGTGGTCCTTAACCACACAACTGTTTCAACTTAATCTAATGTCCACTTTGTATAAGTAAAGGACCTCAATGACAAAAAATTATTTCATAGGGAAATAATGCAGGCACTGAAGAAAAAGACTTGAATGAGTGGAGGTATTAGATATAGATGACATTTTTCACACCAGTGGAATCTAGAATTGTTTGCAAATTAACAATTAATTGGTAAATTCAGTGGATTTGTTATTACAAAGAAGATTTCTTCTGGAACAACCCACCTAAAACAGTGAAGTTTAAGAATGGGCAACTCTGCTTAGACACTTCTAGAATTCTGCTATTACATCTTTTGTTTAAATTACATAAAAGACCAAGAGAACTTCATGCTTAAATTCTCTGTTCACTTGTACTTTGAGATGTTAATCACATTACAGTGGTTTGGGACATGAAAACATTGTTCCATAATTCCCATTCTTTAAACACGTTACATGCATCAATAAAGCCACCTATACAGGCAAATGCCTTAAAAGCTGTCATCAATACCCACCATCAATACCTCTTGGTGACTCAGCAGGAATCTCTGGTTATCCTCACCTTTCTTGGCTTCACAGACTAACAAGAGCAGATGAGTGAGTGGTGAGTGAAACCTGGGATGAGGACATATGCAGAAGTCACAAACAATGAACTTAACAGACCTCAGCTATCTAAGTGCATTAAAAAACCTCAGACATGTATTTGGTTGTTATGGCAACCATGACCATCCAAATCAATTGTTCTAAGGGAACACATAAAAATTAACAAATACTTTTAATCTACTTTTAACATCACCCCTCCTATTGTATTTGTATTTTTTACCCCTTTGTGACTCTCACACCTTTCTAGAGCAGTTATACACAGTTGCTTTCATATAACTTTAACTGAAGACAATCAAACACAAATAATATTTTCAAAACAATAAAATATCAAATTATTGAGTTCAGACATTTCTAGGCATAAACAAAAATCACATTTTGTTTGTTACGTCAAAATCTGATAAGAATTTCTGGCACAGAGCTCAGATTTTCACCTCAGCTGAAGTGTCCAGCCTGTGTTTTTTCTATCAAAAACATTTCTGCATGACTAATTTAACCATGTTCCATAACTGAATCCAAAATCTGAAATTGTTGTAGCTAAATAATACAGATGATAATTTTCTAATGCAAATGGCATTGAACCAGGCATGATGTAATTGTTAGCAGAATCACACAATACACAAAGACTAATTAATCACTGGACTGAAACTGTGTGGATATCTAAGAATCAGTAATAACAATATTATTTAAATTTCGTAACAGAAGACAGATGCCAGTTCCAATGTAAACTAGGTTCTTCAATAGAACTAATTTTCTAAATCTGAAGGCCATTAATTTGAAGGAAAATAATCAAGCAAAGATGTGACTACATATATGTAAGTATGAGTTTTAAAAATACTTAAAATAATATATATTTTTATATGCCAAATTAAAAATGAATGAACTGTTTGAGGAAGTTAATCTGGGAAAATTTGCAACTAGCAAAGCTAAACAAGTAAGAATGAAAGCTTTTTAAAGTATACTTATAGCAAAATATACTTGCAATAATGGTATAGCTTCACCGTTAAATAGATTTTCAATAGTTACAATAATGAGGAAAAGTAAGAGTATTTAATTAAGTTTTTGTTATGTTTTTAAAAAGGAAGAAGAATGAGGTATTCAAAAGGAGATGATGAAGTGATCTACAGTTCACTAGTAACTGGAAATGTCAAACAGACATACAAAGTATAGATACTTTAAAAAACGAGCCCTGGGTACACACCCAGACAGCTGGATGAGCATATTTCTGGTTTCAGAACTGCAGGGATATTCAAGAATCCTGGAAGGATGCTAGTGCTCTGCTGACACTCAACAAGAGTAATGACACTCACCCAGGTAATTATAGGCTTGCTATCACCATTAAACCTAGGAAAAAATAGAGTTGATATGAGATTCAATTAATAAATACAGAATAATAATTTATGCTAGTAGAAATAATTCTGCTGAAGATAGGTCTTATGAAAAAATTGATAAACTCTGTATAACAAGAGTGACAAAGATAACTGGGCAGATACAATAGTCTGGAAAGATATCTGAACCTCCAGTGGTCTCATTTAAGAAACAGTACTACGGAAGATCAGTCTGCCCTATATGAAATAGACTGAAAACTGTTCCATAGTTAGGCATCAGAAAATAATTGCTTTTGTCATTTGTCTTATAACTCAGTATGTTAGTAGCATTCTTCAGGATTTGTTTTCAGGCTTGATGTTATTCAGTACAATAATTGAGATTCAAATGTTAAAATGTGAAGGAGAAAAACATTAAACACATTTGCCTCAAAATAAAAGATATCTAGTTGTATGGTGCAATAACAAATAAAACAGCTTTTAATTTAAAAGATTTTTTTTATCATTTCCCAGTTTAGAAGAGTACATATTTTTAAGGGCAGCAGTCTTTTCTGCATGCTTAATTACACAACTCTGAACAAACAACATCCTTTATAAGAACCAGTGCCTCCCAGCACATCCTATCTATAAAGAAAGGATCTTTGCTTAATCGTTATGAAATTCACTTTATACAGGTTGTTCAGAATTTGTGTTGATTCAGCATTCCTCAAAAAGATTGAGTTTTGGGGGTTTTTTCAAGTATTTTCCCAGAGTTTGGCTAGAAATATGACAGATGCTGCATCATTTGCTCAAAGAAAAAAAAAAAAAAAAAACCCTGAAAATTGCTTTCCCATTGACTGTGTCTGCACACGAAGCTTTACTTAATATCTCCTGAAGAAATGCTTTAATACATATTTCTCCCTCACAGCTAACATTCTGTATCATGCTTAAAAATAGAATTCTAGAACCCAAATTTTTGTCCTTCAGGAATACCTGGATTACAGTGTAGAGCAAAGCTCTGGTTCTCCATGTTGCATTCTATGCATGGAAAAAATAATCACACATAGAGCAAGGAGATCCAAGCCAGCAGCAAGATTGCTTGGTCTCAAACAACAGTCTTAAGCAGAAAAATCTTTGTTCAGTCTTGCTTGTATGTGGAGTCCAATCATACACACAACCAAGATTTAGCAGTGGTTTCATAACTCTTGCTAGACCTCCTCTTTGAGACAGCAGCAAATCTGTGGCAATGTTTAGCCCTGCCTCTGGCTGATCAAGATATCTAGGACAGAGACCTCATTCAGAGAATCCCAGGGAAGTGTTAGACAAACTGACTCACCTGTACAGAGAATGAGGCTTTTACAAAACAACCTTTCAGAGAGCACAGTCTGATGTGAAAATTTTCCCACAGGTGAATAAAACAATTCAACAACTTGGATCAGCATTTGAACGGGCCATGCAGATTGTTTGAATTTGCAGTCAGCTCAATCAGGTCCCCCTCTCTGTACATTCCTGAAGAAGTTAAGAAATGAGACAGAAGTTCTCAAAAGGGTTAAAATATAATAATAACCAAAAATTCCTTAGAAATCAGGAAACAAAACAAATAAAGGGTCAGTTTTTCTAATGAAAGCAGTTACTAATGAAATCTCACGGGGATCAATACCGAGCCCATTCTCTCTCTTATATATTCATAAACAATCTGGGAAAGATGAAACCTCATTTGAGACAGTTTGCAGATGAAACATATAATCCAGGCTATGAAAGGTAAGAGCTGACTGTCAAGGAAAAACTTTACAGTAACAAGCATATGGCCCGATGAAATGTAAAGTAGATAAACATCAAGCAAGGCACCAAAGTAGTTAAACCAGAAGACATCAAATCAAACAGATGACAGAAGCTTTCAACATAAGCAACACTATCTACTTTTAATTCCTCCATCTTAAAAATAATATTTTTTTCTGTTATGAGAAAACTTTGACTAAAAAAATAAAATAATAAAAAAAATCAAACCAAGACAAGAAAAAATCTTGAAGAGTTTCAGACAGAACTTTTATCCTGTGCTAGAATTCTAAATAACTAAAAATGTGGAGTATATCAAGAAGTGCAGACAATGTTAACAAAAGTTTTCTGTATTGTCTCTGCTCTGTTGAATGTTAGTGGTGTCTTGCCCATCACACAGGATTTCTTGGAGATTGTCTTCATCTATTGCGTCAGAGTGCATAAATACTTTAGCGATCTGAACTCCATTTCCACCAACCCCGTTCACTTTATTGTATTCTTTATTGGCTGTATAAAGAATGCTGATATAATTTGTTTAGAAGTTTCTGTCTATAATTACCATTCCAGTTCAGGCTTGTTACTCTCTGAAGATGGGCTCCTTTTTTTAAAACCTACCACAGTGATATGAAGGGGCAATCACCATTTTAAACAGCATTTACTACATCTCAGCTTTCCTAGTCACAGAGTTAATTCAAATGAGCTTGATAATACAGTCAGAAGGACTCACAAAATGGATAAAGCAGTAAACGGATGGTGAGGACTTATGTTGAACAGGTAGGAGGTACTCACAAGTCTAGGAAAACTGCTAATTTACTAATGTTAATCAACAAAATGAAACACAGGGAACGTCTGTAAGCCACAATCACAGGTTCTCTAAAAGGGGAAAATAACTGCAAATGCTGTGGAGAGTAAAGGGAGAAAGACAATTTGCAATACAACATGAGAGTCACCTTGGACAGAAATTAGAACAACTGCAAGAGCTACAGTGTGAAGCAAAGCTATTGAACGGCTGTCACCTGGTAAAAAATGTTTGCCAAGAATTTCTGTGGACAGCATATTAAGTCTGAGTTGGCACTGTGAAACAGTAACACAAAAGACAAGCCCAAGTGCACAGGAAACATAGAAAACGCAAACAATTAATTCTTTCGCTGAAGTTTATTAAGCTGAAGCCCTCTTTCCATAGAAAAAGAGAGT